ATGAGCGGCGCCCTCATGCAGGCGCGACCTGTCCTGTTTCTCCTCAAGTGTGTGAGAAAAGAAAACGCAGCCGCTTAGCTGGCACACTCTGCATTCTCGCACTCAAACCCTCCGTAAGAAGAAAAAAAAAAAAAGTACCCTGACCTTCCAACAGGGGCTCATGTCGAGCTGTCAAACACGACTTCAGAGATCGTAAATTCAAATCAGTTGATTCAAATGTGTTTTTCTTTGTTGTTTTTTTGAGGGTTTTTTTTTGTGTTTTTTTTTTTGGGGGGGGGGGGGGGGGTTTCTAACTGCCGTCTTCGGTGCCTCACTCTGGGAGAGGAGTTGACCAGACTAATTGTCAGGTCCAGTTGGAGTTTCCAACAGGCCAAAGCCATGGAAAACAAACCAGCCCTCTCTCAGCCCCTGCTAAGGCAACTTGAGCTCCCACTTTTTTCCCTCCCATTTCTTATTTCTTCAGACAGATGAAAAAAAAAAAAAAAGTTGCTCCCACAAGAGGAGGAAAAAAAAGAAAAAGACAAAATATAAACGACACAAATATGTTTGTGACAGAGAAACAGAGGAAGAACGCTTGTACGTGAGTGTGATGAGGTGTTGACTGCTGTGTCAGTGTGCTGTATTAAGATTCCTCAATGTGAGTAATATACATATCTAAAATTACAGTACGATATCTTGAGTCTCACACCCTCTTCATCACCGCCACCACCCCCCTCCCACACCCACCCCCACCCCCACCCTTTCCCCTATCATATACGCCTTATCCAAAGACATCACCCGGCTTGAAAGGTGCCTTTAGCAGGCTCCTTGAAGCAGGGAGTGGGGGTCCCGCTCTGGGACAATGATGGTTGAGGTGGAGGGGAGCCGGGGGAACAGGAACACATAGCATATTAAATCTGCTGGCGGAGCTGGGTCGTCTGCCCGGAGAGCCAGAGAGCCAGATCTGAGGCATGCCCTGAAGGGATGGCTGGGCCTGGGGATTAGGAGGCCAAGGAGAAGCCCTCGCGCACCCGAAGACCCCTTCTTGTCTCTGCTCGCACGCAAATGCATCCAGACGTTTTGACGCTCCTCAGGTTTGCCATCTCAGCCCAACTTTTCATTGCACTCCTCCGCGCCTCGCAAACCACAACAGCACACACACACACACACACACACATTTCCACTCACTCTCATGCACAGCCTTTTTTTTTCCCTCAATCACTACCTCTGTCTGACTTGTCCTCTTTCTTTCCCCACTGTGTCTGTTTCATTTGATGTCAACATATCAAAGTAGCAGATCATCAAAGTGAGAGACCTTCTATTCAACTACACCAGTTATATGCAAGGGAAGCAACAGCTAATCATATTACACAGGGAATTACTGCAAACTTTCACTGGTCAGGTGGTTACTGTGTGTTTTATTATAAACAATTCAAACTTGTAGTAGGTGATACACCTCTGAGTGATTCCTTTAACCTCCTGAGAAAGACGAAATTTTAGAAAAAAAACACAAAAATGGGAAAAACACACAAGCCTCAACAACCTGCAAAACAAGCAGACTAACACTAAAAAACACACACACACACACACACACACACACACACACACACACACACACACACACAACACTCCTCATTATCCTGAGGAAAAACCAGCTTCCTTCACATTACCCTCGTTTTAACAAAACATGTGCCACCTCTTTGAGCGCTTCAGGTCGCAGCATTAACACAACAACACAGCTCATTAGGGCCTCTTGCATACAAACCTGATAACAGGTATTCTTCCTGCGGGGTGTAAAAGGCCTGAGGACAGAACCTGCCTTTAGCTGTGAATGCAAGGCCTTTTTAAAAAAAAAAAAAAAAAAAAGGAAAAAAAGGAGGAGAGGGCCATACCTCAAAAGCTAATAGTATGTCATCTCCCTGCATTAACATGACAGCCCTCTATTCTGCCAGGTCACAGGTGTCCTGGGCCAGTGTCGCTATGCATAATTTTACTTAAAGAAGTGCTTAAAGTTAAGATAAAGCAGCACGCTGCTGCTGCTGCTGCTGCTGCTGCTGCTGCTGCTATCTGACGGACTGACTCCTGAAGAGGGAAACGTTATCCGCCTGTTCCTATCGTATGGAGCTGGAGAAGCAGGGAGCGGCTATGATACATCTGTGCTGGCTACAGTAAGCGAATGGCACCGAGTTGTGCATCTCATTCCTGCAGATTAGCATCTTAAACACTGCTGCATTCATCACTGCTGCTGCATCATAATGAGGCCAAGTCTTTCTTCTTGGTAAAGGTGCACCTGTTTGACGTCAGTACACCAATGGCAAGTGTACACCTATAATATTCTTGTATATTTATAAATGGAAAGTTAAATATTTTTATAATATGAAGATGTTTTGTGTGGTTGATTTTATATAACATATTTGGGAAATGGAATGGCATCTCCTCTGCTGTGTAAAAATAGAAATTAAAGCCACTAATTATGTGTAATATTGTTCTGCAGAATATTAAACAACAGAAAAATGTGAGTCACTGTCTGATCAGTCAGCCACTGAAAATGTGATCACACTTAATTTAAGACTGGTTGCAAATGTCATATCATTAAATTCTGCCTGCACACTGAAAATAAAATGCTGTCTTAATTTTGGCCTCTAATAATACTGATATAGAGGCAATTGTATGTCATTTTTAATTATGAATATTATTTTAAAATGATTTATGAACATGTCACAGGCCACAAAATGCAAAACATACAGGAGAAAATGTAGGAGACCTCTTATTTTAATCTCTACAAATAAAATTATAGTTAAAATATGTTGACATTTTAGAATAAAAGATATTAGGCCTGACGTCTGAGTGGTTAAAGGCCTGATGTGTCCGTATTATTTTTTATGTTAATATTTGGACACTGATTCATTTCCACTTGTGAGGCCTGTGAAATGTTATTTTGTTATTATAAATAAAATGGTGGAAATATTAAATAATAATTTATGTGACAGTCCCTTTTTTATTTTATTAGACAAATGGAACCAGGACCTGAGAAAACTCTGCTCACAGCCAAATCCACAGCCAAGATGAATGATGGAACTGCCTCATAAAAATAGCTCGAAGGAGATTTTTATCTGTGTGAACTTGTGCTGTTAAACATCTTATTTGGTGTGTTCAGCCACTGCTCCGTCTTCAAGGCGGCCAGACCTCCATTAATAATTTGCCAAGTGTCAAAAAAAAAAAAAGGGAGGATTTGAGCTGCACCGCATGGCTGAGCACCTCGGACCCTCGTCGTCTGTGTGAAACCCGAGAGCAGACAAGCAGATAAAATGTGGAACAGCTGGCGAGGACAGGAGGGAAAGTTTCAAACAAATATCTGCACATGTGGAGGCTCGGGGGGCTCTCAAACGTTTTCATGTCCCGCACCCCCAAAACGAACACACAGACTCCTGTTAGAGAGATTTTTTCTTTCTTTTTTTTTTTCACTCTGCACGAGACCATGTGAGAGTTTGTTTTTTTTTTTTCTTAGTGTTGATTTTGTTTTTAAATGAATGACTGGCTATGAGAAGCACAAACCTCTGATTGTATAAGTCATTCTTATCTACTTTTTAAAATTATCTTAATCCCAGTGCATTATAATAAACTAAATTATAGTGGATTTATGGCATTTCTCATTTTGCTCGGGGCCCCATAAAAAACTCCCCACATGGACCCCTGCCGGGCTACAGACCCCACTGTAATGGGCTTAAATTTCTCTGAACACATGCACATGCCTTCAAACACGCTATGATCTGCTGATGTGACCTAAAATATTTTTTTCTCTTTTCTTTTTTTTTTTCTTTTTTTTTAAGTGAACCAGATCATTAATAAACTTGTCTATCACATTATAAACAAGAAACAAGATCACAGATTATGATTAAGATTTCCTGCTCCTGACTGATCCGCTTTAACTCAGGTCAGGTTATCACAAAGTGACACTTGTTTCTGCACAAACTGGAAACATATAGAATAATTTCACCTCAGTGGCAGAATGTAATTTCCATTTGCTCAAAAATATGAATTCAATGCTAAATATGGACTCTTATTATTTTTTTTACAGTGCAAATATTTCTTGCTAAAATCATGTGTGTATCCAAATTTTTTCTAAAAAAGGCCTCAAGTTTACTTTTTTAGTTTTGATACTGGAAAACATTACAACAGCAGCCATGTAGAAATGAGACTGTGTTATGCTGCAAAAGAAATTATGTCTACATGTTAAAGGTCAAGGGTCAACCACGGGCTTGGTTGTATTAAAAGAAAATAAAACAGTGTCTGAGCATGCTCCTGTATCTCCTCATTAACCTTCTTCAGTAACACAACCGATAACAGACACTGAAATATGATCACACATGCACATAAATATGCATGTCTCCCCCATAACCCCCACCACCACCACCACACACACACACACACACACACACACACACACACACACCCTCCCCACGCGCGTTTCTTTAGGCAAAGGTCCAGTAAAGTTTCACGTCCACAGAAGTTCATGAAGTTTCAGCAGAAAAACTCCCAGCACGTGTTTTGGTCTTAAACCACACCAAACACACACACGCACACACATACACACCAGTTTCTCCCATTTACGCTAAACTTGATGCAAGTTTTAAACTGCACATCTGTCTGTCGGCTACTTGTTAAGTTTCTAACAACCTCCACTCATTTCACAGAGAGTAAATCACACCCAGAACCAAGCGGATCCACAGTCTGTGCTGCGTTTGCGGCTGGTTTTTTTTGGGGGGGGGGGGTCCTTTTTTTTGTTTTTTAGGATCCGCGATTCGAAGCTTTCATCGCTGTTTAAAGAAGCTGCTGTTTCACACCAACCCCCCCCCCCGCACTTAATCCACTTCGCGTCTACATCTTTGCTTGTGTGAAACTCCATCGTTGGGAAATGTGAAACCTCGGCTGCTCTGCCTTTCCAAACTTTTACAAGCAGACAACAAATACGCGCAACAATCTTAACAAAGTCTATTCCGCCTGTGTGTTTGAGTACTTACTTCTTTCTGGGTGTTTTCCTCCTCTAATTCTTGACTGGCTTTTGATTCGTCTCAGAAAATAAATGATTTGTCTTCCTCCTTCTTCTTCTTCTTCTTCTCCTCTTCCTAAGTTGCAGATGTGCCTCTGGAGTTGCCTGGGACTTTTTTTTTTTTCTTTTTTTTTTCTTTTTTTTTTTTTACGCTGCAACTCCAACTCCAAAACGGCGCTGCCAGAGTTTTTCCTCTTGCCTGTCTTTCTCCTCCTTCTCACAGTTTGCTGTGTTCAACCACCGCCGGACCAACACCATCAGCCTGCCGATAAAATCTGCCGATAGCAGACCGCAGATGTGCGTGAAAAGAGCAGAAGCGTCAGAGAAGCGCATGGAGAGTTGTTATTACATTTAGAGCGCTTTTTCGAGGAGAAGAGAGAGGGCGAAGTGTGGGTCTCCAGCTGCTCCTTCCCTCGCTTGACTCCTCCCTTCGGATTGCTCCCTCCTTTACTCACTGCCTCCCTCCTTTTTTGATTTTGTGTACCCCCTTTCTTTCTTTCTTTCTTTCTTTCTTTCTTTCTTTCTTTTCTTTCTTTCTTTCTTTCTTTCGGTAACTTTAGTCCTTAATATTATAACTTATGGAGCATAAACCGATATTAAACTCAGGTTACCCACCTTTCTATTCCACATAGGCCTTCTTAACACATAAAGAAGTATCAATCTGACCCTGGATAAGCAAAGTTTATTGCATTTTTAGGCAAATTCTGAAATAAATGTACGTTTTTACTGAAAATACAGTTGATTTTTTTCATGTCTGAGGTTATTTTCCTGTTTGTTTGCTTCTCATTTGTCCATGTAACTTGGCTTGTGAGGTGTGTGAATGAATCTGTGACCTCATGGACTCTACCATGACCCTGCTTTATTAAAAGACATAATGTTTCGCCTAAAACTGCACAGATCCAGTGCAGCATGATTTAAGGCTGCCAGTCACCCCTCACAAAAGCAGAAAGAAATATATTGCTCTGTTTAAACTTACGTAAATCCCAATAATTAAACATGTGTGTGGTTAGATGTCAGCCTGCATGAGTCGATTTAAATGATTGCCACCAAAACATACAGAGTCCTAATTTTGATTATGTTGTTAAAATAAAAATCCTGCATCACATGACAACTGTATGGATGAATTAGCTTGAAAGAATCATATGGCAGGCATATATGTTGATTTATTTTGAAATTACAAAGGGATATTTTATAAATTAGAGTGTTTTTTAACTGTTGTTGTCCAGGTAATTCACTCAAGCCTCTTTCGCAATTATCCATCTTTTTTTTTTTTAAAAAAAAACACACATTTACATTCTGGAGCAATTTGACTCACATATTGGAAAGTGTGGATTTATGAGGGCTAAAGTAGTCTCCTGGGCTCAGCCTTCAGAGTGATATCTAATGCTGCGTTAAAGCAGAGGAAAGCCCTCCTGTAGGGTTAGGTATAATCAATATACATAATCAATATACAGGGAAATGATGTGGTAAGAGAGGTCTTTAAGGTGCTGTTTCAATCAATGAAGAGGTGGGAGTTTGCAGAGGAAGATCACCAGTTAATCGTTTAACCAGGATTTGAATGTGTGTGTGTGTGTGTGTGTGTGTGTGTGTGTGTGTGTGTGTGTGTGTGTGTGTGTTTGTGTGTGTCTGTGTGTGTGTGGCCGAGAGGTCAAGTCCATCAAGGCACAGTTAGTGAATTTACCCTGTATGTAACACATGTCCAACCAGATACTGTGGAAAATAAGGATATGTGATGTTTTATAATCACTTTCCCGATGCTTATTCTGGCAGTTAAGTCCACACTGACTAATTAGTTTCTAAATCAATCAGAGGCTAAGATCTCCTGTCACTACTGTCAACATCTTTGTCATCAATAAACCCCCAAATGTTTCACTCTGATTGTGTCAGGAAATGAAGATGGATTCTTGGAAGTTGAGAGAGTTGACTCAAGTCATTTTGCGGACAACTATTTTAAATATTCGAGTGCGGGACCTGGTTTTGAGTCAACTCAAATGTCATCTCTGTTCATCAATGACAAATAAGAAACAGATGGTTTTTCCTCGCTGCCCATAAAATGTCACAATAAAAGCACAAGAGTTGATATTTGATGATTTTAAATGGAAAAACAGATGTAATAAATAAGGTTTAATAACAAATACAGAAAAGCTACAAATGCACAGTGACGGAGTGTGAGCTGTGATATAAATCAGTGTCAATACAATGAAAATGCTTGTGTCCGTGACGACAGGAAGTCGAGCCGGGAGAGGAGACAGTCAAAGATGCTCTGTAAGACACGACTAATTCTCCTGTCAGTTTGTCAGGCGGTGCTCATCTGGCCTGGACTACACAGAGATAAAGTCCTTGTTATGAATCTCTCAAAGAGAATCCGAGGAACGTGGAGGTGGGGGGTGGGGGAAACGGAGGGCTGGGTAGGTTGGGGGAGTGAGTGGTGGTGGTGGTGGGGGCGGGGGGAGAACAAGAGGGTAAAGGAAGAGGGAGGGGGTGCACATGGGCATCAGTAGGGTTAGCGGCTCCCGAAAGTATTTCATCAAAGAGGGCCAGGATCCTGGGGATTGAGATTCTGCCTGGAGGCAAGTAACCATTGGTCTCCCAAGAACATATTCCAAAGTAGGACTCGCAGAGCCAAAGCACACATCAAAAGCACCTCTGTAGCCAAAGCGATTCTGGAGGAGAAAGAAAGGGGTTCGGGTCCCTTCTTGGCCCCCTTTAAGCCCCAGATCTCACCCCAATTAAGAAGGAACTACTGTTTGTTCCAGACCCTGAGATCTACAGACAGGGAGGTGCACTCACCAAAGGTAGACACTCAGGCATCCTCACAAACACACAGGCACACCAATCACACACACATTCACACACACTCACTCACTCACTCACTCGCTCACATATTGTCACTTTTCCTCAGAGCGAGAATCAAGAGTATGAAAGAAAATGCCTGCACGTTGAAGATCGACATCTGTGTCTCGTGCTTATTTTTCAAATAATGACCAACTGACAGAGCGTGTTTCCAGTTTCAGCCGTGATCTCACTGAAATAATATGCAGCGCTCAGTGTGTCCACGTATGTTACACGAGTAACAGTAAATCAATACTTGGCAGAATGTTGTGTAGGCATTTGGATTTTTGCCTTTAATTCCTCGCCGCTGGACAGATGTCACTGTGAAATGGATACGGCAGAATAAGCATATTATATCCACACAGATGTGACCGCTGGAAATGCACTGGCTGCATGAGCAGGGGAATGACACAGGCTCCTGTGATTCTCACAGCAGAGACACTGTATTTGTACCATAAAGGGATGTATAGCAACATATAAATACTCCATTACAAGTGAAAGTCTTGTGTTCAAAATTTTTACCGAAGTAGAAGAACAGAAGTTTTAGCAGGCAAAATATACCTCAAGTCGGCCTCTCGCAAGTAATACTCATCATGCAGCATGCTACTGTGAGTGTGATGCTTATCATATACACACATTATTGGATTACTATTTTAATGCAATCAAAGTGGAGACAATTTTGACTTTTACTAAAAGACTATTGGGTAGTTTATTCTATAACAATGTGTCATCATTTAGTGATAAGTATGTAAAATGTAAAATCCATATATGCAAAGTTACAGTTGTTGAAAGGAAAGTATTTTATTCTGAAATCCAGTGGAGAAGAAGTAACAGGTAACATAAAATGGAAATACTCAAGTACATGAAGTGTAAACTTGTACAAAAGTACAGTACTTGAGCAAATGCACTGTTACTTTGCACATATTATTAAAGAACTCAGTTATTTAAACATGACATTTTTATAAACCTAGATTGTTTAATCTGCTTGGAGCAACTTGTTTTGAGAAATCTAAACACTTCAATGGTTGAATTTGCCAAAACTACAACAACACATATTTTCTCTCGTTGAAAAGTGTCGACACTGTCCTGTGGATTATTGAGAGAAGCGAGCGCGGGGCATCTGGTGGCCTGTAGCTGCATACTATTCAACTGCAGTGTTCACAGTTTGACACCAGCCTGGGTCATAGCTTCTCTCTCGCTCCTCGTGTTTCCTGAACTGTCTGTTTCATGCGCTGCTACTATTTAATGAAAAAAAGGAAGGCAGAGCAACCGGCAAGTCATCTTCCATTCAGCGCCACCGCACCGGAGTGAAAGCAGAAATCTCAGAAACACAAATCTCTAAGTCAGAACACAGAAACCTTGCAATGGTGGAAAGTAACTAAGTTCATTTACTCAGGTATTCAAGTACAGATTGCTTTATACTTCTGCTCCACAACAGGTTTGGATTTTATATCCAAAACACACAATAAGCTTTTAAGAAATATGATGCATTGTTGCAGATGAAGTTACCCAACTATGAAATAAACTACAACAGTGAATGCATCAGTATAACATTTAGTATGACACTTACAGGGTGACATTTCTCTGCTTTATTAGTACTTTTATTGCACTGATACATCTATACCTTACTGAAGTGACATTTTGTAGTACTGTAATGTAGTACAGTAAATGGCAGCATGGCTACTTTTACTTGGTTGAAGGATCTGAGTACTTTCTCCACCACTGCCGTCTGGTTACTGGGGCTTTAGTGGTGATTTTACCTTGAAGCTGAAATTTCAAAAAGAGACGTCAGTTGATTGTATAATAATCAACATGTTTCTATTATGTGATGAATCACAAATTTCATAACCAAAAAGAAGATGACAAATGCTGCAAGAATTTGCTTTAACACCGTTTGATCTCGGATGTCCTTCTGTCCCGGTGGCCGCCCTGTGAAAACCACGTATCTCCGTAACATTGTGGGCTAAGAGAAGCGATGACGTTTTCAGCTTTGTGGTGCTGCATTTTTCAGATAATCCAGTGGGTTTTAAATTTTTGGGGTTTTTGTTGCTTGAGAAATAGCCCTCAACCCATAATGGAATATTTCATTCTAAATTCAAAATCACCAAATTTGGAAATACATTGTTTTCACGGTTCAGTGAAAATAGGCAACCAAAAATATAAGTCTGATACTTGTTTCCTGTCTGTGCCTGCACCGTCACTCTCTGATAAAGGCCCTGAAGAATTTACTCCCAAGTGTTTGCTTGCTCTTAATCTCACTACTACGAGTGGTTAAGT